GAGGTGGAAGAGCCACACCTGGCAGAAGGCAAAGTCCCAGTTTGGAGCTTTCCAGGTAAGTAGGACAGACCCCAGCTCTAAGCACACAGGAGCCTAGCCTGTCACTGGGGGAGGCCATCCCACAGGGCATTCAGGAATGTCTTGGGAAAGGTTGTGGCCCCCTGGCTCTGCTGGAGGACAGGGACATAAGCATCTCACACATAAGACTGACACCCCTTCCACTGCCCACAGTGACTTACCACTCTGCGTACATTGCTGCTCCCTGAGAAGTTTCTACACAGCTCCTTTCCTCATATACCAGGTGTCTTTTCCATGCTACCATGCCCTAGCCCTGTTACTTCCATGATTCTCATCTGTCACGAAGCTAGGCCCACATTTGTCACAGGCCTGGATCTAATACTGTAATTCCAGACTGGATTCTCTGTGTCCGTTCTTCTTGTTCAGCTTAGCTCTCTCTGTCCAGACTTGGTCTCCTAAAACATCTTAATTACCTTTTTTTTTTTTTTTTTTGTACAGGGATTGAACCCAAGGCCTTTGCACTGAGCTACATCACCAGCCCTTTTTAAATTTTTTATCTTGAGACAGGATTTTGCTAAGTTGCTAAATTATTGCCCGGCTGGGCTCAAACTTGTGATACTCCCGCCTCAGCCTCTCAGTGCTGAGATTACAGGTGTGAGCCACCACACCTTGTTTTTTTTTTGGTTTCGATATTGGTGGTGCTGGGGGTTGAACCCAAAGTTTTACACGTGCTAGACAAACACTCTGCCACTGAGCTACATCCCCAGTGCCTTATCTACTTTTAAAATTATCTTTGAGATATAATTCACTGTCATATAATTCATCCACTTAGAGTATAAAATTCAGTAGTTTTTGGTATATTTATAGTTATGTGATTGTCACTATGATCTAACTCTAGAACATTTTCATCACCCCAAAAAGAAACCTCTACTTTTATTAGTCCCTTTCCATTCTCTCCTTCTCCCATTCCCTGGTAAGCCTGATTTACATGCTGCCTGTATGGTCTTACCTGTTCTTGACATTTCATATAAATGGAATCATATAAAATGTGGCCATTTTGTTTTCTTTCATTTCGCATGTTTTCAAGGTTTGTCCATGTTGTAACGTGGATCAACACTTTATTCCATTTTGTGGAGGACTAGTCCATCATATGCATAGATAGAGAACATTTTGTTTATCCATCATCTCCTGATGGACATTTGGTGGTTTCTACTCTCTTGGCTATTATGACTGTTGTGGATATGAACATTCATGTACAAGTTTTTGCGGTGATGTAGGTTCTCATTTTGTACAGATATACAGTATTGGAATTACTATACTATATGGTAATTGTATGTGTAACATTTTGAGGAATTGCCAATCTTCGAATATCTTGTTCCTCAAAAACTTGCATGCAGTGGTGTTAACGTTTGCTGATGATTCTTACCTGAATCAGTTGTTACTAAGATGGTTGATTTTTCTTTTTTCATCCATTACTGTCATTATTCATATTCATGTTCATGTTCATACTGTCTTCAGTGTGGCTAGTAAAAGATTCTTCAGGCTGGCTCCCTCTCCTTTTGGCATGGCCCTATCATTCTTTGAGCACTTTCTCACTTTCCAGCACAAGCATATTCCACATTCACCCGGTACTCTCCCTGTTTCAGACTGGAATCAACAACTTCTACAAGGAACTCTGGCTCCTGTTAGGGGAATGGTACTTAACTCCGTGGTGGTATATAACGTGGTCCTCTGTTGTGTTTTTTTGTTTTTTTGGGTTTTTTTGTAAGTAGGTAGTTAGATTTAGAAGTTGGATCAGTTTTTGAGTTTTTTTTCTTTTTATTTCCTAGTTATTTCTACCAATTAGGGCCAGGGATATGGCTCAGCAGCATAGTGCCTGCCTGACAAGCGCAAGGTCATGAGTTCAATTCCTGGTACCACAAAAAAAAAAAAAAAAAACTAACAGGACACCAATAGGCATGTAATGCACAGTTGTCTTTGTGTTCTGTTACTAATCATTCATTGGTAGTTAATGCTTAACTCCATTAATTCATTAATGGCTATAAAACATTGATATTTAAATTTTGTCATTATTCTTTGTTGATTAGCTGGAATACTTTTATAAAGAGGAATTGCCCCCCATCTACTATTTGGTTACCATGAGTAATATGTTATATAGAAAAGACAGGCTAAATGATTGAGGATTTTATTGGCTTATTTGCCAGTTTTCAGAATAAAGAGTTGCTTTGGTAGCATCACCTAAATGTGACCAGTGAGTTATGTCCTTTTTTGTGTATCATTTATAGACTTAGGGATTTAAACATTTTTATGTCTAATCAGTTACATTATTATCTCTACTATGACTCAAACCATTGCATGTCTGGCCAGTGGAAACTCCTTCACATTGGCTCCCAAGCGTTTGGTAGTGTCCTTACTTTTTGGTGTTATAAGTTCAAGGCTCATTTTGTGTATTTCTTGCCTCTGACCTGATATTGGCCATTTCTCCAAAGAGCCCTGGTTCTTTTTAGTGTAAAATAATGTTTCAAGACCACAACTTAGATGTTAGGGAATCATTTTTAGGCCTTTTTGTTGATAAAGTTATGACCTGTGTATAAAATTTTAAAAATACCTCTTATATTCCAATTGATATTTCTAAATCAAATCCTGGATGTAAAGGTTTTTAATAGATTCATTTTATATCTGATGATAGTATTCTGAGACTGTGGTATATGTATAGTCATTCAAAACAACTAATCATGTTGGTGCTACTGTGAGTCAAGACTTTTAGCCTGGTCATTAGGAAATACAGAATAATTACTAATATTAGGAAATCCTTTAATTTTCAGTTTTGCTTTGTGATTATATAAAATATTATTCTTACTTGGTTCCAAAGTCATATTTAGAAAACAAGGTACATACAGTGTAGTCAAAGGCCACTTTCTCTCTCCACCCATGTCTTTCTTTCCTCCCTCCACAAGTAATCTTTAATAAAATTTAAAGGTTTATCTTTCTACTATTTTTTATAATAGGAACCTATGTGAATGTACTTATATATACATTTCTTTCCTTAGAAAAACAGTATCCTGCTATCATTTCATTCACCTTTTTTAAATTAATAGTTAAGAACATTATGCATATATAGATACTCCTTAATTCTTTTTGTATCTTAATAATCAATATGATAGTAGTAGCAGTTGTCATAAACATTTTAAAGCACTTCCTGTGTGCCATGCAATCTCTGTCATAAGTAAACAATGCTCCTCAGCATCCATTTGGGTGAGCACTATTATAATTTCTATTTTATGGGTGAGAAAATGATACAGATAGATTAGATCACTTGCCTAAGGTCACAGATCAAGTAAGAGGCTGAAGTGGGATTTCCTTTTGTGCAGGAGAGCCCACAGTCCAACCATATGGCATACTGTTACTGTCCACCTAAAGAGGTGCTCATCCAGCAGTCCTGAGTAGAGCAGTTTGTAAGAGCTCTTCCTGGGATTCTGTGCTCACCCCTGGCTAAGAACTAGTGTTTTGCTATCATAAGAAAGGAAGTCACAGGAAAGGAAACCAAAATTACATGATCCATTTTAAAATTCAGCACTGCTATGGCAAAATGTTAGTATTATGGGATCTAAGTTGTAATATGAATAGTTACTGTACACTTCTTTCAACTTTTCTCCATGCTTGAAATTTTTCATATAAAATTTCAAGGAAAGTGAGAAGTAAATTATAAAACATGATTAAAATTTCAGTATATGTGCCAAAATTTCAGCTTTTATTGACTTCAAGATGCCATTGATTTTAAGACATACCACTAAGAAAGGAACATTGTCACCAATTGATCTATGGCATATCATTGATTATAAGGTGTATCTGGATTCAGAGATGTTAAAATGTGAAATATTGTGTATCTTTCAACTGATGAAATTAAAGGCTTTGTAGTTTTAACTAAATGAATGGTACAGATGACAGTTAATAAAATTTTAAGTTATTTAGGGAGATCAGAGTGGGTTTTTGAAAAGATAGAACTACCTCTTGAAAAGTTATCTAGATTATCAATATAGGAGAATATGGAGGACAGGGCCATGTGCATAATGGTACAGGAGAAATAGTTTGGAGTTAATAGGTATAATTTTAAGGGAAATACTGCAGACAGTGATGTTGAAGAACTGTGAATGCAAATGTGGGTGAACTTGTACTGGTGAGCCCAGATTGTCAGGCTAATTTATTCTAGATTTTTCTGTCATTCAGTGAGAATATAGATTCAAGTATATTGTAAGATTTGAGCCTAGCAATCACACTGTTTTATTTCCTCCTAGCAGGAAATAGTGTAAGTCAGGTTCAGTTAAGAGTTCAAATGTTGAGTGTGGATTGAGGGAACTGAGGTCCATCCCCAGAGCTGATGGAAGTCAGAGATGATATAAAAGTAGTGGTAAGAGACCCAGATATCAGGGTAAGATTGTTCTTGGTAACAAAAAGGCCAGTAGATGGGAGTTCAGTAAGAGACTCTCCAGGGACTCTGATAAAATGAAATGACTTTTCATATGGTGAGGAATTTCTGAATATTGTACTTCTTTCTAGAAGTCTGCCAAATTGATGAACAGATTGAGAGGCAGCATCAGGATGACCAAGATAAATATCTGTTGATAGAAGCTGGATTCCCTGACAAGAAAATAATTACCAGTAAGAGTGGCTGTGAATGTAATGAATTTGGAAACACACTTCATCTGAGTACAAGGTTTGTTGTTCCAATTCAAAGATCCCATAAACTCGAATCATTTGGAAGTAATATGGTAGATAATTTTGACTTATTTAGAAGCTCTGCAGAAAAGAAACATAATAATGGATGTGCAAAATTATTCTTTCACACTGAATATGAAAGAAATCCCATAGTGAAACCCTTTGGATATAAAGAATGTGGGAAAGCTCTCAGGCCAAAGAAAGGTCTTAGTCTTCATCAGAGAATTAAAAATGGAGAGAAGCCTTTCGAATGTGCTGCATGTCAGAAAACCTTCAGTAAGAAGTCACACCTCACTGTACACTGGAGAACACACACGGGAGAGAAACCCTTTGGTTGTACTGAATGTGGAAAAGCCTTCAGCCAAAAGTCTCAGCTCATTATACATCTCAGAACTCATACAGGAGAGCGACCCTTTGAGTGTCCTGAGTGTGGGAAAGCCTTCAGAGAAAAGTCAACAGTCATCATACATTACAGGACTCATACGGGAGAGAAACCTTATGAATGTAATGAATGTGGAAAAGCCTTCACTCAGAAATCAAACCTCATTGTCCATCAGAAAACCCACACAGGAGAGAAAACGTATGAATGCACTAAATGTGGAGAATCTTTCCTACAGAAGCTTGATCTAATTATTCATCACAGCACTCACACAGGAAAGAAACCCCATGAATGCAATGAATGCAAGAAGACTTTCAGTGACAAGTCAACCCTCGTTATACACCAGAGAACACACACAGGAGAGAAGCCTCATAAATGTACTGAATGTGGGAAATCTTTCAATGAAAAATCCACCCTCATTGTACATCAGAGGACCCACACAGGAGAGAAACCCTATGAATGTGATGTGTGTGGAAAAACCTTCACCCAGAAGTCAAACCTGGGTGTACATCAGAGGACTCATTCAGGAGAGAAACCCTTTGAGTGTAATGAATGCGAGAAAGCCTTCTCTCAGAAGTCCTATCTCATGCTGCATCAGAGAGGCCACACAGGAGAGAAGCCTTATGAGTGCAGTGAATGTGAAAAAGCATTCTCCCAGAAGTCATATCTCATTATACATCAAAGAACTCATACAGAAGAAAAACCCTATAAATGTAATGAGTGTGGCAAAGCCTTCCGAGAAAAGTCAAAGCTCATTATACACCAAAGAATTCATACAGGAGAGAAACCCTATGAATGTCTTGTGTGTTGGAAAGCTTTCAGCCAGAAGTCCCAGCTCATAATCCACCAGAGAACACACACAGGAGAAAAGCCCTACGCTTGCACAGAGTGTGGCAAAGCCTTCAGGGAAAAATCAACATTCACTGTGCATCAAAGAACTCATACTGGAGAGAAGCCCTATAAATGTACAGAATGTGGGAAAGCCTTTACCCAAAAGTCCAACCTTATTGTTCATCAGAGGACCCACACTGGAAAGAAGGCCCATGGGAGAAGCCACACCTGGAAGTCAAAGCTCATAGGGCATTAGAGAGTGAAGCAACAGCATCTGCTGTGTACCCTGAAGGAAATTTGTGTGTCATTTAAAGGTTTTCAAAGTTTGTCCTAATTTCTGATATGAACATGAGCAGTTAAATTAGCCTTTCCTCTTTTCATTTTGGTCTTCACCCAAAAGCAATAGCAGAAAAAGAAGAAATGGAATCTCTGTATCTGACAAAATTAGGAGATTAGCTGCAACCTGAGGTTCTGCCAGAAGCAGAGGTAATAAAGCACCAGTGCAAGAGATTTCAGGTCCACAGATGTGAGGCGGGATCGGTAAGGACTCTTAGCTAAGGGTTGAGCAAGATACACTTCAAAGTGCAGGGCCCTAGGCAGCTGGGTAACAGAGTACGCAGGCAGGTGAGGCATTTCTTAAGTATTTGGGGTCTTAGGAGAAACAGGGCTCTTAACAAGGAATCATTCATACAAACCATATTTGCAGGAAGACATCTGTACTGATAGGAGGAACAGTTGGGGATGAGGGAAGAGACCTTTCTGCCCCTATTTACTGACTTGGGAGAAGTAAATAGCTGCCCCTATTTACTGACTTGGCAGAAGGCAAGTCTGAAATAACTAACAAGTATGTGTCGGGGATCTCAGCAGTTAGAAAAACTGATCTGCCTGGAGTATGATCCAGGTGTGTTCCCTGACACAATCCTCCAGCAAATAGCAAGTCTAAGAAAAACTCTGTAACTCAAAGAGAATGATTCAAACATAATCAAAACCACAAACTATTTTTAAGCCAGCAGTTCCATTTCTAGGAATGTATATACTCACAGTGTACAACATGATGGACTCAGAGAGATTCACTGATGCACTGCTTGCAGAAACAAAAGATTGGAAGTTGTCATAATGACATCAGCAGGGTTCTGCTTCCTAAAGTTGTGACATATTCACAGCAAATTCTCAGGCAGACAAAAATGAATAAAGATAACTTGTGTTATTATTTGTATAGTGATGTGGGGTAACCCCTAAGCTATAAGGTAGAAAAAGCAAGGTACAGCATAGTGAGTATAATATGCTACCATGTGTATATAAGCAGGAAAATGGTAAGTATATAATTAGTTGTACGTGAATAAATTATCTGAAAAGACATAAAAAATTAGCAACCTCATTACTGCAGGGAAGGGGCATGGGGGATGGAACTGAGAGGGAGACCTGTGAATCCTTCTTATTTTTGAAAATTGTACTATGTGAATGTACTGCCTTTCCAAATATAAATAAAACTTTAAAAAGCATATTGTATTTTATTACTATTATAATGAAATCAGTCTAGACACAGGATTTTATAATGTTTAATATAGATGTGCTTAATGGAGAATGTAATTTTTTGGGGTGCTAGGGATGGAACCCAGGGTCTTATGCTCTACCACTGAGACAGGTGCTATACCACTGAGTTACACCCCCAGCCCTGGAGGTTTTCCTTTTAATGAGCAAATAAATTGAATAACCAGGCAGACAGAACAACAGCTACTCAGTAAATGTCTAAGGTAAATAGGCATTAATTTCCTGAGGGGACCAAATAGTGGTTCTGGGTCAGCTGGGATCACATTACCTAAGCCTAAAATAATTGAGATTGGAACACATTTCTTCTTCAGTATGCACAGTGATATCTACGAAGAGATCCTGTATTAAAGCCCACCATTATTTTCCATATCTGAGCAAAGTGATTTCAGTTACTTCATATACATGACACACTCCTTTTACGAGAGGTATAAAGCAGTCCACGGAGAGGCTAACTTACTTTCCAGAGTCACATTACTGCTAATGACATAGTTTCCAAGGTGAGAGACAGACTGAGACCCTTGATCTGAATTGCCATAGCTGAAAACCACTTAACAGGATGCTTGTTCCAGAACAAGCAGTCCTGCTTGTGAATCACTGTATTTGTGTCACTCGTGCTAATGTGGTTACTCACCGGGGCCATGGCTGGTGGAAGTGGGCAGCCCAGCTATATAAAACCTGGAGATCCATCAATACCCACCTGAGACCCTATCTGTGCCCTCCCAGGCCTTTTTTTTCCCCTCTGAATTAATCTGTAAGAAAATGAGCCATGGGCTCACTTTTAAAAATGAGACAGGTCTTTTTCCAGGAAGCTGTGTGGGGCTGACTGGCTCGCTCCTGGTGCAGTCTGCTGGGACAAGGTCTGAAGGCACACAAAGGCATTGCATCTTCCTACTCTTGGAGAATCTTCCTAGGGCGTCAGGTTTATCAAAGGCCATCCTGCAGTGGGGTAGGGAGTCAGATATCACCATTTCCCCTGGATTTGGACTCCAGCTTCCTGGACACCAATGACGACCAGATGGGCTACATGTTGGCAATTAGAGGTAAGGCACAGACCTAGAGGGGAAACTGCAGGATGTGAATAAATGGGCTGGAGTTCACAGGAAAGAAGGGTAGTGATGAATCGGGTGGGAGGATGAGGGGCAGAATGGGGGTGAAGAAGCAAGAGGAAACTATAAATGGAGTGTAATTAAGTATGGGTAGTGGTGGTGACAGCAGGAGTGAGGTGAGGCACAGCGTGAAAGACGGTGGATATGCGTGAGTGAAGAGCAGGGCAGGTGGATGGCTATCCAGGGCCTTCCCTTAGGGCTGGGCCTTCAGGATGGTGGATTTTGCACAAATGGGGAATAGTATGTGCTTGTGGAGTGGCAGAGATCTGTGGCATCAGGGGTTACAGGGTGTCAGGATCAGTGATGCAGGAGTTTTCAATCCTGGGACTGGGGACTGTGTAGGGGAGGTGAGCACCTAGCTTTCTGCGCCAAGGAGAGTTGTGTGGATGGGAACAGCCTGTGCAGTAGGCATGGTACTCGATGAGCATCAGCACTGTGTTCTATGTAATGATTTACTTGAGTAACACAATTATTAAGCTTGCTGTATGTATGATACATGGATATAGAAGTACATACACAGGGGGCTGGGGATTTAGCTCAGCGGCCAAGCGCCTGCCTGGCAAGCCCAAGGTTGTGAGTTCAGTTCCCAGTACCGGAGAAAAAAAAAAAAAAAAAAAAAAAAAAAGAAATACATACACATTTTTAAATCCATTGATGAATACACAGGAAAAACATTTAATAATATGGATGTTGCTCAGTGTGAAGGCCCAGATTTCAGTCCCCCATACTGAGGGAAAAAAATGACTGAATAGAAGATCACAAAGAAAATCACAACACCTGGAGACATTTTATGTAGGCACAACTCAATCAAATTAGAAATGGAAAAACTGTGCCCTCCTAAATTATTATTTTTTTGAAACAGGGTCTCACTATGTAGTTCAGGTTGGCCTTGAACTCATTATGTAGCCTAGGCTGGCCTCAAACTCATGGTGACTCTCCTGCCTCTGCCTCCCGAGTGCTGGGATTATAGACATGCGCCACCATGCCCGGCTAAATTATTCTTGTGTTAAGGAAAAAAATAAAAAATGAAATTATGAACAATGAATACACATTAAATATCAAAATATGTAGGATGTGGCCAGAACAACTGAAAGGAAAATGCAGCCAACCACAGTGGTATATACCTGTAAGCCCAGCACTCTGTGAGGTCGTGCAGGTGGGTTGCAAATTGGAGCCTGGTCTAGATAAATTAATGAGACCTTGTCTCAAAATTAAAAATAAAAAATGGGCTGGGGATATAAATCATTGCAAATACCCTGGGTTCAATCCCTAGTACTGTAAAAATGAAAGGCACATATTTTGCATAAATTATAAGTGAAATTTAAAAGAAATCAGTGTTTAACACAAAATCAGCAAAATAAGTCCCAAGAATGTAAAAAGTAGTAAGGAGAAAATGAGGTATTAGTAAAGACCCTCCACGCATGCCAGGGATGATGGGGCATGCTTGTAATTCCTGCACTCTGGGAGGCTGAGGCAGCAGGGCTGCAAATTCAAGCCCAGACTAGGCAATTTAGTAGGACTCTGTCTCAAAAAATAAAAAAGGCTGGGGATGTAGCACAGTGTAAAAGGCTGGATTCAGTCTCCAGTGCTGCCAAGAAAGTACTGGGTTTCATTAAGAAAATGATGAATAGATGCAAGTATATATAGCTCAAAAGCATCTAACTAAAATAAAAAGAAACAACATTAAGAATGTGAGAGGGGGGCTGGGGACTTAGCTCAGCGGCAAAAGCGCCTGTCTGGCAAGCGCAAGGTCGTGAGTTCGGTTCCCGGAACCGGAGAAAAACCAAAAAAAAAAAAAAAAAGAATGTGAGAGGAAGCTTTACACATATAGGGGAGATTTTTAATAAGAATCCATCTAAGGTTTCCAGTTTAAAAGGTAAATTGGCCACAAGTTCTCAAGTTTCTCTCTCCTGAGATATAAATACACTGTTCTAAAACTAACAGTTTAAAAAAAATCTATAAACCCTCCAGAATGAAGGGAATGGGAGAGGCATTTCCACTCATGCTATGGTTTAGATCTAAAATGGCTCCAAGTCTCATGTGGTGAAGAGGTGATTGTATTATGGGGGGGTGCTGTACTTTTGAGTGGATTCACCCATTAATGAGTCCAGTAGCTAAATGTGTTAGGCAGTGGGCCCTGGTTGGAGGTGGGTCACTGGGGCTGTGACCTGGACAAGTGTGCTCTTGTTCCTGGTTCCTCCCTTCCCTCAATGCTTCCTGGCTGCTGTGGCTTGAGCGCCTTTTCCTCTGCCATGTCCGTCTGCCATCCAGTTTCTTCCTTGGAGCCAGCTACCATGTATTAAAATCATGAGGCAAAATAAAGCCTTCCTCCCTTAAATTGTGGATACCAAGTATTGTGTCCCAGTGATGGAAAAGTGACCAAGGCAATTCATAGTAAAAACTTAGGAAACTAGAAGTAAATCAGAATTCCCATAATTGGACAAAGTGCATCTCCACAAAACCTACACCAGATGGCCTCATTAATGGTGGATGAGTTAAGTTCCCCCTTAGATCAAGAGCAAGAAAAAGATCTGTGCTCTCACCAGCCCCACTGCTCCTCAGGATCGAATGAGGCCCTAGTGGTATGTGACAGTTAACTGATTGTGTCAATTTGAGTAAGCAGTGCCCAGCTATAGAGGATCAGCACAGTTCCGGGTGTGGCTGAAGGGTCTTACCGCAGACAGATGACCCACCGTGGGTGTGGGTGACACCAACCAATAGGCTTGTTGCCTGAATGAAATAAAAGGGAAACAAGGAAAGCTCACTTCTGTTCCTTCAGAGGAGCGCTGGTCTTCACCTTCACCTCAGATGTCATCGCCTGGCTTCCAGCGCAGACTTTAGCCTTCCGGAGCAGACCTTTCAGTCTCCTCATAGGGACCCTCACAGGACTGTACAGTGAGGCCCCGGCCTTCCATTTTTGACTGAATCCTTCGAGCATGCAGATGGCCCTTTTGCCCTCTTCCACATCTGAGCCTGCAGGCTGCTGTTGTGAGCCTACCTTGTAAACCCCTATGTATTTAGGTATCTTATTTTACATCTGGTGAGCACTGACTGGTACATAGTATAACAATGGAGAAAAAGAAAAAGTATAAAAGACAGGAGATATGAAATAAAATAGTCATACTTTACAGGAGACTTTTTATGGTGTACTGAGATTGAAACCAGGGCCTCAAGAATGCTAGGCAAGAGCTCTACCACTGAGCTACACCCCCAGTTCTTTTTAAAATTTTGAGACAGGGTCTTGCTAAGTTGCCTAGACTGGCCTCAAACTTGCAATACACTGCAGGTGGCATTTTTGTGAATGTAAAAGATCTAAATTCTGATGATCTATTAGAATATATAAGTGGATTTAGCAAGACTAGTGGATAAATGCTAATACATAAAACCATATACATACAATTGAATTTCTATATAACAAGAAACAAAGATTATAAAATGATGTACTTATTTACTGTAGCATCAAGAAATGTAAAAATAACTGGACTAAATTTAAAATATACACAAGGCCTCTACAAAGAAATTTTATAAGACACTATTGAAAGACCTAAATAAGACAGTGAAATACTGGCATACAGACAAGTAGGTAAAGACAACAGAATAAACAATCTAGAAATAGACTATACATAGATTATCAGTTGGTCCACAACAAACAGTACAATGAATTCAGTGGAGAAAGGATATTCCTTTGGAATAAATGGTGGAGCAACAGGTAATGACTTGTAAAAAACAATCTTGATCTCTCCCTCACATTATAAAAATTAAAGACTGTTACGTAAATGATCCAAAGATGGCCCCTGTATCTTGGCCTTTGTCATTTAGTTCTTCACAGCAGTCTGGGACCATTA